TGTTACAAAGCCAGGCATTTCTACTGTAAGCCTGCTAGATCATTTGTTTCCTGTTTTATATTGTTTGCACATAAGAGGGGGTGGAAAAATGCAGAAATGTTTTCCAGCGCGTTTCCTTCCTTCCACCCCCAAGCCTGCTAAAGATACAACTGCAGATTTCACGTGGCGGCCTGGCTATTCCCAAGTGCTAAGTGTTTACCAGCCCAGCTACCTTCCCGGGAGGAATGGCGTCTTACGCTTTCTGTCACTGCAGCTCAGCACGCTGGGACAGAGAAGCTGCTGAAGGAATTCACCTGCTGTGACTCCGTGCCCTCGTTTTGAGCTCTACAGGAATGTGATTGGTCATTTTGAGCGTAGGAAAAGCCTTCTGCCCCTCCGCTTTCTCTTCCCTTTTCTATTTTTCTTTTTTCTTTCTTTTTTGGTCTGCTAAAATTCAGCTCCATTCTTAAAATGGAAGTTGGTCTTTTTTCCTTTTTAGTAATAGCTTACATACACAAGCTTGAGAAAGACAATTAGAAGCTTCCTTAACAAGGTCTTGGTGTGCTCCGATCCCTGTTCTCCGGCCCTCCAACCTTCAGGATCCTGGGTGCCTACATGTGTGCCTGGCTTGTTTTCAGGCCAACCCACGAGTCCAAACCTGCAGCTGGCCACCTGGCTTCCCGTGTTTTAGGGCACTTGTGTTACTGCTGCTGTACTGTAGCTGGGCCTGCAGTGGGCCATTTGATGGTTACCTGAGACTTTGGTTCTGCCAAGTGATGTGTGCGTGTGTGTGCGCGTGTGTGTATCGTGACTCTCTGAAAGGCATTTTATCCTGCAGAGCATCCTTTCCTTAAAGCAGCAGAAGTCCTCGATGATGTCCTTTCCTGATTCTCCTCTTCCTTCCCTTTTATGTACTTCTTCTTTTCCTTTTCCTTTTTTTTTTTTCAGAGAGATTTTGTTGTTGTTGTTTTTGCTATAGGCCACATGCACTCGCCTGAAAGACAAGAGAGACAGAAAGTGAGAAATCACCCCCCAGGGAGGATGGCCATGCAGCAGTCCTTTCTCCTCCATTCTCCTCTTGGGATCTTGGGCACGCACGCACACGTGTCTGGCATGAGTTTAAGCCCCCGGGTCCGGGGCTCAAACCACGGTTGACTACATGGGAGTCTAGCGACATAGCCATTATGCCAACTGCTGGTCCCCCTCTTCTTTTCCTTTTGACTCCACATTTTATCCTCAACCTTCTCTTTCTCCTGTACTCCTTCTCTTGATGAGCTCATTGATTCATTTGCTTCTAATATTGCCCCGTGGAGACGACTCTCCCAACTATAAATAGAGTGCTGTGTTATCTCCTGGGGGCCAGACCGATATTTCTTTCTTCCCTAAAAACAATTATTTATTTAATTTATTATTGTCATCATTATTATTTAATCTGCTCTAGGGCACATGCGCTTCCCAGAGAGAGAAAATGTGGGAAAGCAAGCTACCAGGTCCAGGACTCAAACTGCAGTTGGCCATGTGGGAGTCCAGGCCTTAACCACTGGCCCCAGACCTGTATTTCAATTGCCCATAGAACATACCTACTTCAGTGGCCCACGTGTGATTTCAAATTTAAAATCTCCATTGTTTGTGCCTGTTCAAGGTTCCTTTCTCTTCCTAAACATTCCATTTCAGCCAGTGACGACCCTGACCTTTCTAACACAGAAATGCAAACTGCGTGGCCATTTCTCTGTCTCTTTCTTCTCCTACTCTGTCTCCAGTTGGTTGTACCTGCCCTCCCCTTCTTGAATCTGCTTGGTACCACCCAGGCTGGGCCCCGCACTTCCTGCCCACCACAGTAACAGCTCTCAGGCTCTTCCGTGTCGGTTCTGCTAGTCCTTCTCTTTCCTTATGCCCGCTACAGTGGCCCTGTCGCTTTTCACTTCCGAACGGAGGGTGTCTGTCCCTGCCACTCGGCCAGGGAAATGCGTCCCCTGCTCGCTGTTCCTCAATGTGCCCTGTGACTGTCAGGCCCCTGGCCCTGTAATTAATGAGCAGGTCTCCAAATCGGTATTGAGGGCCTTCCTCTCACTCAGCCCTGAGCCAGGGCGCTGACCACAGCAGACTTGCTCCCTTGCAGTTTCTGAGTCAGCAGGCTCACTCCCCTCATCCCTTTGGGGTCACTGCCCCCGCCTTGACCTTCAAAGTCCAGTTCGCCTCAATTCCTCCCAAAGCTGCCTCCATCTTTTTTTCTTTTTTCTTTATTTGGAGAGGTTTTGCTATAGGGCACGTGCACTCACCAGACAGAGACATAGAGACAGAAAGCGAGAACTCACCCCCCAGGGGGATGGCCACGACGCAATCCCTTCTCCTCCATTCTCCTCTCGGGATCTTGGGCACGCACGCAGAGGCGCCCGGCGTGAGTTTAAATCACCGGGTCTGGGACTCAAACCGCAGTCGACTACATGGGAGTCCAACGACATAGCCATTACGCCAACTGCTGGTCCCCCTCCATCTTCTTCAACCAGACTGATGAGGCCCTCGTCCGAATTCCATCCTCCTGTGAGAATAATCCCCGTCGTTACTCTGATCTTGTCACGTATGCTAGTTTTGACTCCTTAACCAGACTGCAATTTCCTTAAGGTCCACTGCATGCGCTTTTGTAAATAATTATTTTATTTAACCTCATTTATTTGTCTATTTTAATTTGATCAGAGAGGGACAGAGGGAGAGAGGGAGAGAGAAAGTGAGAAAGCAACCAGGCAGTGCCAGGACTTGAACCGTGGTCGGCCATGTGGGAGTCCAGCGCCTTTAACCACCATGCCACCTGCCAGCCCCCAACGTCCACTGTTTTCACTTGTGCTAACTCTCTCCAGTGCTGAGTGTGTTATTTGTCGCTGTTGTAGGGCCATTTACAATAACCACTTGGAATCTGTGATTAGACATAATTAGGATCATGCTTTATATGCACTTCCTTATCCAGTGAGTGGGTGTGAAATACATGCCGAACCGATTTCGGGAAGACGTGCGCAGCTGTTTACCACCTGTGGGTCTCAAGGCTCAGTCTCCTCATTCGCACAGCGGAGACCTGGGTTCCTGACCCCTCTGCGTTACAACGATGCAGCTGGCCCAGAGACCTGCTCCTCAGAGGGCACTAAACGAGGACAGCAGCGGCTCTCTCTGTGTTTACCTTCTAGTGTCCCAACGGGGAGCCAGGGGCATCCGCGGGGGACCCAGGGAGCCAATGACATCATTAGGAGAAAGTGGGGGGATTCCTGGGACTTGATTCCAATTCGAAGCTTCCTGGAGGAGAGACTTCCGTTGAGTTTAAAGGAGGCTGTTGGTGGAATGGGAGTCCGAGGCGGTTCTCGGCAGGCCGGGCGGGCAGGACATGCTGCTGAGTGCAGGGCACACAGGCTGGGTGGAGGCCGACCCACCGCCGGCTGCGCCCAGGGCTGCCGTGCAGATATCGCTGCAGGTAAAACGGGCGGCTCGGGGCGCATCAGAAAGTATGTGGCTCTCAGGGCAGTAAACACTTAGGCATTTGCGATGGGTCCTTAGATGAAAACCATTTCTTTGGGTGTCACACGTGCTGAGACTCCTAAGCCCCGGGAGCAGCCATTGGTAGCCTGGTACATCTGGATTCCTGTCACCACAGGATTCAATTGATGACCACAACAATAGCGAATGCTGACATTTCCTCATAAATATTCAGGTTTTTCTTCATTTCAAAAAGGAATGGAAGGGGTTTGCAAATACGTCAGCCAGGCAATAAGATAAAAAGAGAAAACAGTGGCCGCTTGGTGGCAGAGTAGTCAAGCCCGATGCTCTGTGAAGCAGTCCCACGTGGGAAAGTTCCTGGTTCGAGTTCGGAGTCCTGCCTGAGCATGCTGGGCATGCGTGTGCGCTTGGCAGGGTTGGCCGAAGCTGGGGTGGGTTGCGACATCGGCACCTGTTGGCGGTGCTGTCTTTCTCTCTCTTGTCCATGGAAGAAAGAAATGAATAGACTTTTTAATAAAGAGAGAAAGAGGGACCAGCAGGTGGCGTGGTGGTTAAGGCGCTGGGCTGGATTCCCACATGACCTAGCATGGTTCAAGTCCTGGACCTGGTAGCTTGAAATTCACGCTAGGCATGTGTGCATGCATCCTCAATATCCCAGGAGGAGAATGGAGGAGAAGGGATCGCAGCGTGGCCATTCCCCCTCAGCAGATGATTTCAGTGTCTCTTTGTCTCTCCCTGGTGAGCGCACATGCCTTACGGGAAAAGAAAGCGAGAATAAAGCTAGGCATGGTACGCACGGTGGGATAAAGTCAGAGGGAACATCCAGATGCCCAAAGTCTCGAGGTGGGCTGCAGACTCACACTCAGGATCTTAGCAGCCAATGCATTGCCCCCCTCAAAGAATACTTTTTATTTTAATATGATAATGCAGCATGTCTAAGATTCCACGTTTATAATCAGACACATTTTTGAAAGGGATTTTGAATATTGACTAGTACTGTGGGCTTTCATTCATATCCATGTTGATTTCCTTTGCACTGGCTCATTAGAAACAAAGGCTGAAAGCAAAACACCATCCCAAGCTTCTCAGCTTGCCAGGGATCTTACTTAAGGAAGCCCCACTCCAAGGTCAAAGGGAATTTCCTCTCCTTGGAAAGAGAACTGCCTTACTCTTGCCTTTTAGGAAAGGCTTTCCCCTCTGCCTTCCTGAAACACACTCTTTTTTTCTTTTTTTCTTGGAGAGGTTTTTGCTATAGGGCACATGCACTTGCCAGAAAGACAGAGAGAGACAGAGAGACAGAAAGTGAGAAATCACCCCCCAGGGGGGATGGCCATGCTGCAATCTCTTCTCCATTCTCCTCTCGGGATTCTGGGCACACACACACGTGCCTGGCATGAGGTTAAGCCGCCCGGTCCGGGACTCGACTACTTTATCAGTTGTACTCTGTCTCAGTGAGGGATGTTGATCTGCCTGGAGTCACTGAGGCCTTGGCCCTAGCCCAGGCCATCCCCGCTCTGAGACCATGCCTCTCTCCTCCCTAGTGTGAAGCAGCAGGAGCGCTACGGCCAGTTGACTCTGGTCAACTCCACGTCAGCCGACACCGGCGAGTTCAGCTGTTGGGGGCAGCTGTGCAACGGCTACATCTGCAGGAGGGACGAGACCAGAACAGGCTCCACCTACATCTTTTTCACAGGTACGGTCTTGGGTGCACCAGTGGATCGGACCGACTCAGAACCGAAGGGGCCCCTGCAGACCCAGCAGCAAGTAACAGTGAGAGCGCTCGCAATTGGCGGCAGTTACTTCACGTAGGTCTTACAACCGCCCTTCAGAGCGAGGGCTGCTGCCGTTTCCAGTTTTTCCTCCCAGGTGGGGAGGTTGAGATCTAAAGAGAGTAAATCCAGGTCAAGGAAATGGTGGTCGCAGGATTGGAAACAGAGCTGTCTGATCCCAGGATCTGTATGGTGGCCACTGGACCCATGTGACTACAGGAACATAACTGGGGAGTAGTTCAAATCGGATACAATTGAAAACTCATGTCCTCGGGGCCCGCAGGTGGTGTAGTGGTTAAGGTGCTAGACTCCCGCATGGCTGACCCCGGTTCGAGTTTTAGACCTGCTGACTTGCTTTCTCACTTATCCTTTTCCTGTCTGTCTTTTTCTCTTTGGTCATTTTTTTTTTTTTTTTTGGAGAGGTTTTTGCTATAGGGCGTGTGCGCTCGCCAGACAGAGAGAGAGAGTCAGAGAGACAGAAAGCGAGAAATCACCCCCCAGGGAGGATGGCCACGCTGCAATCCCTTCTCCTCCATTCTCCTCTCGGGATCTTGGGCATGCACGCACACACTCCTGGTGTGAGTTTAAGCCACCGGGTCCGGGACGCGAACCACGGTGGGAGTCCAGTGACATAGCCATTACGCTAACTGCTGGTCCCTTTGGTCAATTTTTTTAAAAAAATAACAAATGGAATTACGTAATAAAATCATTATTTAAAAAACAAAAACAAAAACAAAACAAAAAGAAAACTCATGTCCTCAGTCACGTTTGCCACATTTCGAGTCCTCCGACTCGCCGTGCGTGAGCGCACTTGGACGGCACAAGCAGCGAACGTTTCTCTTGGGGCCGAAAGTTCTGTCAGCAGCCCTGCTGTTGGCTTTCATCACTGTGCCCCAGAACCGGTGCTGATCTACTTTCCAGAAGCTCCTTACTCATAGGCTGCTCGGGTGAAGATCTCCTCTTATTTATTTCTTATTTTAATTAATTAATTTTTGCCATAGGACAAGTGCACTCACCAGAAAGAGACAGAGAAAGAGAGAGAGAATGAGAAATCACTCCCCAGGGGTCATGGCATGCCACAATCCTTTCTCCATTCTTCACCTGAGATTTTGGGCACACACACACACACACACACACACACACACACACGCCTGGTGTGATTTTCAAGCTGCTGGGTCCAGGACTCCAACTGTGATGGGCCATGTGGGAAACCAGCGTCTTAACCACGATGCCACCTGCTGGCCCGTCATTTATTCTTATGTTGGGTCATTGGAAAAGTCGTGACATATTTTTCTATGCAAGAATGCGTCATGACTTTTCCGATGACCCAGTAAGTATTACGAGCTAAGGTTTGGAGGCAGGATTCCCAAAGCTTGTGGTCCTTGTAGCTCCAGTCCCAGTGCCTGAGCCTAAGTGAGGCGCCTGGAAATGGGCAGGTGTCCTCCACTGCAGCACGAGGTATGCGTGTGCAAGGTGGGTCTTGCACCTTCAGAACCAGGCATGGAGCTCCCAGCCACCTCCCTCTGCACAGCTCTCTGAACTCTGAAGTGTGGAGGATGAGGTTCTCCAAGATTCAGAGGTCGGGAGTTGCCTTCAGGAGTCTTACAAATGCTACTACTGGCGCTCCTGCTGTTTCCGGCGTTTCAAGTGAAATCACAATCTTATCCTTTAATTTGCCTGAGGGTGCATGCACTCACTGGGGTGAAAGAGAGAGAGAAAGAAAGTGAGAAAGACCCCCCCATACACACACACACACACACACACATAGAGCATGGCACACTGTAATCTCTTCTTCTCCATCTCTCTTCCTGTTGGGATTTGGTGAATGCACACACATGTGTCAGGTATGTGCTTTTCAAACTGCTGGGTCCAGGACTCAACCCATGTGGTTGGCTCTGTGGGATCCAGCCACCACCATGCTGATCCCAGAATCTTTAACTGCCTCTCAGGGCCTTCATGAGATTTTCCTACTCTTGAATCCATCTACCTCTAAGACCTGGAATGGCTATGATCCGAAGAAAACCCAGAAGGACCAGTAGTTGGCGTAATGGCTATGTTCCTGGACTCCCATGTAGTCAACCATGGTTCGAGTCCCAGACCCAGTGACTTAAATTCACACCAGGAACATGTGTGTGTGTGTGTGTGCCCAAGATCCCTAGAGGAAAATGGAGAAGGGATTGCAGTGTGGCCATCCCCCCTGAGGGGGTGATTTCTTGCTTTCTGTCTCTGTCTCTCTCTGTCTTTCTGGCGAGCGTACATGCCCTATAGCAAAAACCTCTCCCCCCCCCCCCAAAAAAAAGAAAGAAAGAAAACCCAGAGCTGGACAGTAGCTAAAGTGATTAAAACAGGGGCCAGCAGATGGTGTAATAGTTGCATCACTAGAGTCCACCATGGCCAACCTGGCCCCGGTGACTTGAAATTTCCACCAGGCATGTGTGCATGCTTGCCTGAAACCCCAAGAAGAGACAGAAGAGGTTGAGGCATGACCATCCCACCTTGGGGGCGGGGGTGGTGGTGGTGATTTCTCCTTTCTGTCTCTCTGTCTCTCTATCTCTCCAGCAAGTGCACATGCCCTATAGCAAAAATCTCTCTAAGAAAAATAAATAAATAAAACAAAGTGGTTAAGAGTCTTGCAGTAGAAGGAAGGAGACCCGAGTATACAACTGGTCTCAACTCTGAATATAGTATGAACAAGTGGGGATTTATGGCCAAGGAGAAGGGCAGGTGGTCAGTGGATGTTCAATTACTAAGAAAGAAACATCAAATGTAGAGAGGCGGGTGGGAGAGGCTGGTGGCTGAACTCACCTAACACGGTTCGTGCTGAAGATAGGTCCGTGTGATCAGACACCCCCTGGAGGACGGTACCCTCTGAGGAGCCCTGGTAGGTCAAGGGCAGTTGGGGTGGAGGATGGGGATGGGAGGTGGTTTTGGCTAAACCGACCTAGCAGGGTCCTTGCTAAAACTAGATTTACACCGAAGTGCACGGATGGGCCTAGGAGAAGGTTAAGAAGCTTGACTAAAGTATGGTCAAGCAGAGAATCTTTGTCACTAGCCATTAATGAATGCTTTAGCGAAGTCTAATGTATTTTTCACTTTCTGCCCAAATCGCTCCTCTCCAGAAAGAAGATGCAGTAGCAGGACATGCTATAGTTCTGGAAGCACGTGTATCTCATTTCATTCCACAAGAGCCCCAGGAAATACATGAACGCTATTTGATTATCTCTGTTTTAAAAATAATAATGCAGGGAACCAGCAGTTAGCGTAATGGCTATGTCGCTGGACTCCCACGTAGTCGACCGCGGTTCGCATCCCGGACCCGGTGGCTTAAAACTCACGCCGGGCGCGTGTGCATGCGTGCCTAAGATCCCGAGAGGAGAATGGAGGAGAAGGGATTGCAGCGTGACCATCCCCCCTGGGGGGGTGACTTCTCACTTTCTGTCTCTGTGTCTCTTTCTGTCTGTCTGGCGAGCGCATGCGCCCTATAGTGAAAACCTCTCAAAAAAAAAAATAATAATAATGCAGATGCTAAGATGCAAAAAGGCAAGGCGATTCGGCCAGTGTTCCGAAACTTGTGGTGGAACCAAAGAGTCAAACCCTGTTTTTCTGACCTGAGACCCGATGTTCTTATTGCCTCGAACCCTTTCTGAAACAGGGAGATGGGTGGATGGACAGACGCTAGCCAGCCTGACAGGTGTGGGCAGGAGAACTGCTGACAGTGTACGCAGGGAATCCTCCCTGATCGTCATTTAGGACCGTGCTCCACAGAGGTCCCGTGTGTCCTTGGTTAGACCGGGTCACCAGTTAATTATGTCACTCTAGGCAAGGACTAATGCTGTATTTCAAACTGTGAGATGAAGATTCTTTGCTAGAACTAGCACTTTCATGTCATCCCAAAGCACTGGTGGGGTCTGGGCTGGCCATGGGCTGTCTGAGTTCTGCATTCAGGTCTTCTCTCTCAATTTTGCTATTCCTTTCAGGAACCAAAGAAAGGCTAAAACACTGTATTTATTTTCAACTTTCAAGAAACCTTGATCATGGAACTAGCCCTGAAGCACAGTGATTAGGCGTTGTACAAAGGAAGCCAGATCCCACATGGCTGACCAAGGTTTGAGTTCTGGCCCCATTGGCTTGAGAAGCACTTGGGCATGTGTGCCCAGGCTCATGATGGGATGGGAGACGGAGAACTGGAGGAAAAAGGATTGCAGCATGACTGCCACTATTGGGAGAGCTCCTCTCCTTGCTCGCTCGCGCGCGCTCTCTCTCTCTCTCTCCATGCAGCCCTTTGACACTGAAAAAAGAAACCTAGATCCAAAGGGAAGTGACCTAATGTGTTGTGTCATTTTCTGATTCCTCAGTGCTGAGAGCCCAGCTGGATTTGCAACACGGGGGTTAGCAGTTCGTCTTTCCAAGCATGGTGGGTTGGAAGAACCAGGCTGGGCTGTAACTGAGACTGAGGTTCCTGGCACTGGCCCCGGATTCCTTCAGAACATATGCTCCCGGGCTACCCACGCAGAGAGACGTCTGTCATTCATTATGTTTGTATGTTTCGTAGCGCTTGACTGAAAACACTGCGGAGCTTCCTTTGGGGGCCGCCTGTGGTTAATTTGTGCAATTTTTAATTAAGCAACTGCCATACATACTTCCTCTTTCATGTTTATCGAGAGGCTCTCAGAGGGGGTCTCTCTCTTTTTATTGAAGTATAACATACATAAGAAAAACACTCACATTCTAAATATATAGCTCAATCAATTATCCTCAGCCGAACAGGCGCACGAAAGCACCACCCAGCTCAAGGACGAGAGCTTTACCAGCAGGGGAGCGTTCTCACCGTAAAGGGCTGGACCCTGACTTTCAAGTGTAGGAAAACTACAGCAATACACTTCACTCAACATTGACTTTGTTGTCGTTCGGATTTTAGCTTATAGCCTATGAACCTCCATTTTCTGGGAATCTGAGGTCCCATGTGTTCCTTTTTCTTAAAGTAATACGTAGGTCATCTACATGAGATGAACACATTGCATGGAACATATGGAGTCTATCACTTTACTTCTAACTTGCAGTGGGCGTGTGTGCTCAGTAGAAGGGAGAAAGAGAGAGAGAGAGAAAGGGACAAAACATCTCCCGTGGGCGATGGTCACCGTGCAATCCCTTCTTCTCCATTTCTCCTTTTAGGACTTTGGACACGCCCACACATATCCCTAGTGTGTTTTTCAAGCTACTGGGTTCAGCACCAGAACCAAGTAATCAGCTATAAGGGATCCAGCCACTTTAACTACCCTGTCACCAGAAAGAGAGAGAGAGAGAAAGGGACAAAACATCTCCCGTGGGCGATGGTCACCGTGCAATCCCTTCTTCTCCATTTCTCCTTTTAGGACTTTGGACACGCCCACACATATCCCTAGTGTGTTTTTCAAGCTACTGGGTTCAGCACCAGAACCAAGTAATCAGCTATAAGGGATCCAGCCACTTTAACTACCCTGTCACCCACAGGCCCTAGTGTTTTTCAAGCTATTGGGTTCAGCACCTGAACCAAGTAATCAGCTATGTGGGATCCAGCCACTTTAACTACCCTGTCACCCACAGGCCCTATAATCTATCAGTTTTACAATGATAAAATGGTTTTTTTGGTAGGTGGAAGCTATTGATTAGAACACACACACTCGCACACATGTATATGTTTACTTTTTACTTTTTCTCTGAGAGAGAGAGAGAGACAGGCAACCCACAGGATCTTCACGCCATGATCTGCCCCCATCTCAGCCAGCCTGGATCACGGGCACACATGCACACACCTGGCCCGCTCAGGGAGGTCCCAGGACGTGGGCTCCAGACCTTTCCCACGTGGGTCCTGTTCTGTCCCCGCCAGGCTCCCCACCTGGCCCCAGACTGCATGTATGTATATTAAAGCAACTGGTGTGGCCACTTATTGTAGAACATGTATTCTCGTAGAAGAAATAAGACCATGTTTTTGTGTTCTGAAATTAAGATTCCTCACTTATTTTCCTGGCTTTACACATAAGTTCAGATGACTTTAGAATCCCTAAAACAGAAGTTGCCTCTGCCCGGCTGTGGGGACCGAGGCAATGCAGTGCCTCTGCAAGTACTGAAGCCACACGGGAGGCCCCGGGTCAGAGCCTTGTGCCCGGCTGGCTGGAAGGCTGGGGTGTGGACGGACCGCAGTGTGGGAAGATTTTGCCTAGGGTACCACTGTCTCTCTCCCAAAAGAAAAAGAAAGAGAGAAAGAAAAAAGGGGAAAAAAAGATGGAGACAGAAAGCTTAAAAAAGAAAAAAGTGGTCTCTCAATCTTACAATCATAAAACCGATAAGCAAAATTGTTAAAAATATGTTTAAGGGGCCAGCAGGTGGCATGGTGGTTGAAGCGCTGGACTCCCACAAGGCCAACCACTGTTCAAGTCCTGAACCCGGTAGCTTGAAATTCCCACCATATGCATGTGCGTGCATGCCCAAAGTCCCAAGAGGAGAATGGAGGATAAGGGATTGCAGCATGGTCATCCCCCCGAAGGGGTGATCTCTCACTTTTCCTCTCTCTGTCTCTTTCCAGCAAGCTTGTGCACCCTATGGCAAACACCCCCCTCAACAAAAAAGGTCCCTTTAGTATCTAGTCCAGATCGTTCTCTGTATAGCTGGGAATGTTGAAGCACAGAGAGTCACACATCCAAGGCCACACGGATGTAGATGCAGTCCACGTGACACGCTGATGTGGCACACGCTAACGAGGCTGCTCCATACCTGAGCCTGAAGTCGATTTATCATAAAGCGAATGCAAAGGTCTTGGGAGAGATGGTGCCTGGCTGAGCAGTGACGTTCTCCTTCCCAACCTTAGGGCCTCCCTGTTAGGGAACTTGGTACTCACAGCCAAAGCTCCCTTGGCTCATGAAGACTTGCTATGTCGGGAATCCAGTCTCCAACCTCAAACATCATACAACCATGGCTCTAAGAAGGCTGGTGGAGGAGAAAGCTGAGGGGGGAATCCAGTCCAGGAACACACAGGAAACACCTGATCAACTGTTGGGGTGCGATCAGCTCCAAGGATTTGTCGTCGCAGTTATAACGCTCCCTCAAAGAATGATCCAGAACACAAAGGATTTACTGCACCAGGCAAAAGCAAACCAAAACCAAACAAAAAAGTTCAACTGAGCATCCCTTCCCTGTCCTAAGGACAGTATAAACTAGCCTTTGTTTCTCTTATTCCTGTTAGATAAAAATGACACCACTTAGCGCTTAAAGAACCAGGAGAGTGATTTTAGAGGAAACGGGGTGTAAAGAGGCTGGAGGTCTCCAGCCAGGGAGTGACGAGCTGTGCCAGGAATGAGGCCCCAGCCCTTCCTTCACCCCTACCCCGCTCCCTCCCCCTGCCTTGGCAGGTGCTAGGGCTCTGGGCTTCGAGAGAGAGGACGGGGACTCTGGCAGGTCACCATGGCCCTGGGGTGCTGGAAATCCCCCTCGACTGTCAGTTCCTGAGCCTCGGCGTTGGCACTAGTGTCTCCGCACAGAAGCAGCAGGTTGTCAAGGGGCGACAACTGTTCTCGAAGCCATGAAATCCGTCTCCTTCTTCGCTTCTTCACATGATTTGACTTGACATATTACTTCTTTTCTTTCCTTTAAGGAGATAAGAAGTAAAACTGTTGCTCCAAAGAAATGAAAAGCATTTATTTATTTTTATAAGAGAGATTTTTGCTATAGGGTGTGTGTGCTTGCCGAAGAGACAGAGAGACAGGAAGCGAGACATCACCCCCCAGGGTAGACGGACATGCTGCAACCTCTTCTCCATTCTCCTCTTAGGATTTTGGGCATACACACACACACACATACACACACACACACACACACACACACACACACACACACTCCTGGTGTGAGTTTTAAGCTGCTGGGTCTGGGACTCTAACCCTGGTTGACTACGTGGGAGTCCAGCAAGGTAGCCATTACTCCACCTGCTGGTCCCAGCATTTAAAAGCCAACATTTTCAGGGGCCAGCAGGTGGCGTGGTGGTTAAGGTGCCAAACTCATACATGGTGCACAGCAGTTTGAGTCCTGGACTTGGGTGACTTAGAAGTCATGCATCCCCATAAATCCTGACAGGAGAAGGGATTGCAGTGTGGGCATCCCACCGGGGGGGATTTCTCAATTTCCCTGTCTCTGTCTCTGTCTCTCTGCCGCAAGCGCATGTACCAAATGAAAAAAGCCTTAAAAAACAACAGAAGTCTGCTGCCAGTCCCCCTCACCCTGTGTCCTGAGTGAAGAATCCTGAAGGTTCTCTTACCCCCATTAAGTAAGTCCATGTCTTCCCCTCTGCAGAGAAAGGAGAGCTCTTTGTGCCCTCGCCGAGTTACTTCGACGTCGTCTACTTGAACCCGGACAGACAGGCTGTGGTTCCTTGTAGAGTGACCATGCTGTCGGCCAAAGTCACGCTCCACAGAGAGTTCCCCGCCAAGGAAATTCCAGCCAACGGAACGGACATCACCTACGACCTGAAGCGAGGCTTCGTGTACCTGCAGCCTCACTCTGACCACCAGGGGGTGGTCTACTGCAAGGCGGAGGCTGGCGACAAGTCTCAGATCTCCGTGAAGTACCAGCTGCTCTATGTGGAGGGTAAGCCTGCGGCCTGGTAGGACCCAGCCTCGTCCTCTGGCCAGGGCGGGGACTGCTGTTCTCTACCAGGTGGGAGCAGGAGACCCAGCATGTGGTTTCAAGGCTCCTCTGCTGCCCTGCCACTTCTAGAATGTTCCACATCCTTGCCCATGACTCAGACCCAGCCCTCTACTCCCTTCCGGATCCTCCCATCGTTAGCTCTGGTACTGCCCCTGAGTTTGACCCTCTCGCCTCTACATCCCCAGCCTCCTCTGGAACATTCTCTCAGCCTCTGTTTTAACCCAAGTCTGTTGTCTGCTAAGAGCACCGTGAACTCCCGACGCCATGGTCGGCCTCGTTTTCAAGGCCACTCCCATGTCCTTTCCCTCATTCTGTCACCCTCTCTGAGGCACAGGTGCGCAGCCCCCCCTTTCTCAGCTCCTTTGCATCGCGCCCTCGTCACTCACTGATGGCTTTGACGGTTGGCTCACTGTCCTCCTCTTGTTGGGGTGACTTGAGCATCTCCTTGGAACCCACTGTCCTGCTCACTGACCGCCTCATCCATTCCAGACGAGACTCGCTCCCTTGGCCACACTTTAACATGTCAACGATGAGCCGAGGCCGGCTAGTGGCACTGCAAGTGCGTCACCCTGCCTGGCTGACCCACGTGGGAGCGAGCCTTGACACCCGAGTACACAGGGCTCGCGTGCGGCCCTGGTCTAGGGCTGGCTGAGGCTGACTGAGGGCTGCTGAAAAATCCCCCAGGGGGTAGACGGTGCCACCCTAACCCCCATGTCTGTCTCCACGCCCTGGCAGCCCCTGGAGTCTCCTAGTTTCCTGGGCGTCCTGCAAGGCGCGCTGCACCAGGTCCTCGAATTGCCGCCGACCTCATTCCTTCCACCTGGCCTCGCCCCTTCCTCCTGACAGCACTGAAAATGCTCAGATATTTCATGGGACATGGATCTATTTTGTATGAGTCTGGCCTTTTCAGTGAGGAGCTTCACCTCAGTGCGTTCGTACGGGACGTATTTTCCCCTCATCACTTCCATGGGTTCTGCTGTACTGAACCCCTCTCCTGAGCACTGAGAGCCATGAGCAAGATCTCGGTCCCATTTCACTTTGGGTTAGTAAATCAGCCTCATCCTGGTTTCTAAAACTGTTCGCTTAAAATTAACCCTGCAGTCATCCAAAGCTGGCCCTGCTCTTCCTGCCAGGGAGCAGGCTCCCCTGCTGTGCCCAGCAGCCTGGAGCCAGGAGGCTCCCCCACCCCGTGCTCTGGTGCCCAAGAGGCTGGAGCCCTGCAGGTGGTTGAGGCTGGCCTGGCTTGGTGCCCCTGAGCCTGCCAGGGGCAGATGGTGGCTCCAGCGCCTCGCGAACAGCCCTTCTCGGGGTCGAAGCTCCCTTCCCATGCGGCCTCGTCCTCCTCTGGACCCTTCATGTGGACCTCTCCGCTTCGAGCTGCTGTGCTCTCGGAAAGGCTGCAGTCCTGAACTCTCCGAGCCCCTGACCCCAGACTCCACCACGTGGCAACCAGAAACACAGCGGGGCACAATCCGGTCCCCTTGCCTCCCGGCAGCGACCCCCCCACACCCTGCTGTCACACTCTGCCTGGGTCAGGGCACTGGGTGGGCCAGTGGCAGATCTGCAGAACTCCTGCTTTCGCTTTCTGGGGCGAGAGCACCCCGCCCTACTCCGCCAGCCACCCGAGGTGAGGAGAGGGAATGTTTATACCCATACACGCAGTTCCTTTAATTTATTAGGGCTTTTTTGAGGTTTTTGCTATAGGGTACGTGCACTCGCCAGAAAGAGAGGGAGAGACAGAGACAGAAAGGGAGAAGTCACCCCCAGGGGGATGGTCACGCTGGAATCCCTCCTCCATTCTCTTCTCGGGATCTTGGGCACACGTGCACACATGCCCAGCGTGAGTTTAAGCCACCGGGTCCGGCGCTCGAATTGCGGTCGATGACATGGGAGTCCAGCAACATAGCCATTACGCTAACTGCTGGTCCCAACACAACTGAGGTTTTAAGTTAGGCTGTGACTTGCTCAGGTCCGCTGCTCTGCTAGCTTAGGGCCCTGAAGGCTCAAGGCCACGCCTGTCGTGTTCTCCAGCACCTCGCCTTGTTCGAGGCTGCAGTTGGGATGACGTAAGCTCACTGACCGTAATGCAGACAAAGTCACTGTGCTCACGGGGAGCGCCGGTGCCCTCCCTGCAAGCTTCCCTCTCCTCTGGGTGTTTCTCCACTGAGAAGGGACAGCCACAGCCGCATGCCTCCACCTCCACGCCTTCCGGGCTGCCATCCGGCGCCTTAGCTGCGTTCCACTTGCTCTTCCTCTGGGGCCCCTGTCCCTCTCGCCTTTCTACCCTTTCCACGTGACCCCTGGCAGGCCTGAAGCCTCCTTCCCTAAGAGCGCAGAGGCTCAGCCCGGGAGTTCTCTAAGATTCCTCTTTTGAACCGCCAACTAGGGAGGCAGCGGTGGCTTCGAAGGAGAGCCAGAATGGTGGCCGGCCTGGCGTGGGTCGGGAAGCTGTGGGAGACATGTCTCCTCTCTCCAGAGAAGAGTGTCTGCAGGTGCACCCGCGCTCAGGCTCACCTCAGGCCGTCTCCTGCTTGCTTCCAGTTCCCAGCGGGCCTCCCTCCACTACCATCTCGGCCTCCTCAAACAGAGTGAGAGGTGGGGAAGACGTCCGCGTGCTCTGCACCGTGCTGGGCGAGCCTGAGGTGGAGGTGGAGTTCAGATGGGTCTTTCCAGGCCAGAAGGTAAGCGCCATTCCCCAGGCTCTGCCCCATTTTAGCTGGGTGTGGTCCCTGCTCAGCGATGGAGGCGTGACCTCAGAGGTGCAGGGAACGCGTGGGCCTGTGGTAGACGCCTGGGCTTGCTTGTCTTCGACTATGTCTCTATATATTTACAAATAGATCTTTTTTTTAAAAAAATGTGTTTATTATCATTTTTTAATTTGCTATAGAGCACATGCCCTCACCAGAGAGAGACGAGAGAGAGAGAGAGAGAGAGAGAGAGAAAGCCATGAGGTTAGGGACTCAAACCCCAGTCAGCCATGTAGGAGTCCAATGCCTTGACCACCATGCCACTTGCTGCCCCCCCACCCCCCATAGATTTTTCTTAAAGGACAGGGGGACAGAGTGATTGGGTTCTACTAGGCAATTCAATGCACCGTCTTCTTACTCAGGTTTTCTTCATAGCCCGCCATTCAGAGATAGCGTCAAGAAATGAACGAAAGGGACCTCCCTCTGCCCCACCCACCTGCCTCCATCTTCAGTCCCCTCCATCTGGGTCTGCCGGGGCCTGACCCTCCTCCCGGCATCCCTCAGTGTTCCCAGTCAGCGGTGCCCTGTGGCGAGGGGCTCGGGGGGCAGACGAAGCGCAGGGGCATGCAAACATCGGCCCTGTGGAGCAGGTGCTGTGAGGCCACAGACCCTTTTAGAGCAGACTTCCCATAAAGCAGCGGCAGCATATTGAGCGTCTGTGCATGTTCAGCTTACCAAAATAAACAGCCTTGCCACCGCCACCGCCACGGAATAATCCCTTTGTTGCCAGAAGAGATTTGGCCTCCTGAGACGTGGTCTGTAGCCAGTACGCTTCGAGCCTAGGAGCTGTGACAGGTGGAAAATAACCATCCCCGGAGAAGGGCATTTTGCAGCGTCCTGGTGCTAGGTTCTTGTTTGTAAAGTGTTGCCACACTTCGGAGACGTTAATGGCTTTCAATGTAGATTTATTTTATTTTTTTTAACATTGCTAATTAGTATCTTTACGAGCAAGAAGGGTACTGACGTATATAAATATTCCTTCTGTTAAATTCAGAAAGGACTTTGTTCTTATACCAAAGTTGGCCGGGACATCTCAAGAGGGACCGTCTCAGGTTCTAGAATGGGGGCTCTGTGCTCTAGGGCGTTCCTCCAGTCCGGGGGACTGTAATTCTGCTGCCCAAGTCCCGTGGCCCAGCCAGACATCGTCCTGTCCCAGTCGGAGCAGCCAGGAGCACGCATTGGCTGACAGCGAGTACCGTGGGCGTCTGCCTCTGAATTCCGCAACTATAAACCACTCAGCCAGAGGGGGAAAGGGGGCGAGATGGGGGGACCAGGGGAAAATCGTGTCCATGTTTTTATACTAAAACCAGTTCCACCTTCTCGGAGTCCCAAGAATGTGGGGCCGGCTGGTGGCGTAGTGGTAAAGGTGCTGGACTCCCACGTAGCCAACTGTGGTTCGAGTCCCGGTTCCAGGGGCTTGAGACACGCTAGGTGCATGTGCGTGTGTGCCCCAAATCCTGAGAGGAGAATGGAGAAGTGATTGTGGTGTGGCCATCCCTCCCCCTCCCCCCCCCCAGGGGTGATTTCTTGCTTTCAGTCTGTCTCTGTCTTTCTGGTGAGTGTGCATGCCCTAGAGCAAAAACCTCTTAAAAAAAAAAAAAGATAAAGTTTACATTAAGTAGAAACGTACTGATTTAAAAAGCAGAGGCTGCTGAACAGCATAATGAAATTCAAGGCTCTGCTCGAGGAAAATGCCCTAAAACGATTAGACAGAGCAGAGGCTTCCTCAGCCCGAGCTCCGCGTCAAAGGGCCCTTTATAAGCCCCGCGCTTTGGAAGGCCGCCGAGCGTGCTGGGGGAGCGGGGCTGTGGACAGCAGCTGGCCAGCTGGGCTCGAGTCTGTGTGGGTGTTGTTAAACAGGGCGAGCGGCCGGTGACCATCCAGGACACTTGGAGGCTGACCCAGCGAGGGCTCGGACACACCACGAGGCTCTCGCAGAGCGTCCTCACAGTGGAAGACTTCGAGACCACCGACGCGGGCTATTACCTCTGCACGGCCCAGAATCTCCGCGGGCAGACCACGGTGGCCACCACGGTGGAGCTGTCCTGATGCGGAGGCTGAAGTGTATGAACTGAGGGGCCATTTGTGTACACAGTCAGCTTCCGGGCGCTCTGTCCCGGGGCTTTGCGGGCAGGCGTGTCTCGTGCCAAACCCCCACCCCTGCGCTGTCAGACCCAGACACCCACGTAAAGGAGGCCACCCAGTCTGTCCGTAGAAGTGGTAACTTTCCTAACAGAAAGCATGTCTTTTGACTGCTTACCGACATACATGTGTTTCTGGTTTTTATACTAAAGAAGCATATATGTAAACAATTTTCTATAAATATAATCATTTCTATTAAATGAGCAAGTTTTTATAAAAAATAAAACATGGGCTGCTTGTTTTTTTTTAGATTGGCTGAAACTCCAGGGATTCCTAGGCAGTGAAACTTGGGTCAATACCTAGTATCCCTTTTGATCTAACCAGTACCTTAGAATTTAAAAAATATGGGACCAGCAGTTAGTGTAATGGCTATGTCACTGGACTCCCATGTAGCCGACCACGGTTTGAGTCCCGGACCCAGTGGCTTAAACACACGCCGGATGCGTGTGCGTGCATGCCCAAGATCCCAAGAGGAGAATGGAGGAGAAGGGATTACGTCGTGGCCATCCCCCCTGGGGGGTGATTTATCGCTTTCTGTCTCTCTGTCTCTCTTTGTCTTTCTGGTGAGCGCATGCACCCTACAGCAAAAACCTCTCCAAAAAAAAAAAAAGAATTTAAAATATACTAGTATATCGTTCAACTACTAATCTATACTCAGCAATTCAAGGTGCGAATGCTAAGACATGTTGCGTTTTCTTGTCACCCATTCTGACGTTAACATGAGTTAATTAATGAAGGAATAAAAAGAATCGCCTATACTTAGCTTTATTTCTCCCTCCCCAATTTTTGCCATACTGCTCATGCACTTGTCAGAGAAAGAGAAAGGACGAGTAAGAAGTCACCCTCTGGGGAGGATGGCCGTGCCACAATCCCTTCTCCATTTCTCCTCTGGGGATTTTAGGTGTGCGTGCACACATGCCTGGTGTGTTTCTCAAGTTGCTGGGTCCGGGACTTGAACTGTGGGGTCAGCCACGTGGGATCCATTGCTCTAACAACTACACAACCTGCTGGCCCTGCTTAACTCTTGAAAAACCGCTGCACTGGGACCAGCAGATGGCCTAATGGTTATGTCGCTGGACTCCCATGTAGAGGAGAGGGACTGTGGTGTGACCTTCCCCCCACCCCCCGGGGGGGATGATTTCTTGCTTTCTGTCTCTGTCTCTCTGGCGAGCACACACACCCCATAGCACAAATCTCTCTCAAAAAAAAAAAAATGCAAAAAGCTGCTGCACTTAAAAGTATTAATTATAGTTATTCAATAAGAAAATGAGAACATGTTTTTATGGGTTTAAATTTCAGTATAAAATAAATGTGTTGGCCTAGCAATTGGGGGAGCTGGGCCCCACCTGGCCAAATGTAGTTTAAATCCCGCCCTGGTGGCTTGGAAAGTATGCCGGGCATGTGGGTGTGCCCCGGATCCTGACAGAAGAGAGACACGGAGAAGGGACTGCAGCGTGACCACGCGCCATGTAGGGGTGCTTTCTCCCTCTCCGTCCGTCTCTGGTGAGCGTACACATCCTCTGGCAATGGAAAAGAAATCGTAGATGTGCAGATTATGAGACTAGACTTTGTTGAGCTCCATCTTCAAAAATACTTAGGCCACGGCCATTCCCATTTTCTTGGTATACAGCAGAGACTATGAACACCAGCCCAAATTTCTCAGACCCACATATCTTTGAATTCCGAAAAGGTTAGCTCTACTCTAGCTCCGGGAGTCAAATGTAAGGCGTGACCCACTTCATGGCTGTACCGAGAAGTCCCGGGGGACAGGCTATGAAGAGACATGAGCCCCGTGCCTGTTCTCTGACAGGCGCTGTAACCCTGGGTAACGCTCCACAGAGTGAAGTCTGTCCGAGGCTTCGGTTCTTACGTCGAGGATTCCAGCATTATTTATTTGATCAAAGTAAAATACACTTTCCATCACTACAAACTTACAACTACGGTTGTTTATACATCCATACTGTAATACCGTGCCAACGTTTCGTGATCCTACATGAAACATTTGGTTTGGGGGGAAAAAAAAATCATCAAGTTCTCTATTTTGTTTCCTATCTTCTCTCGTGTTGTCTCCCGCTCTTGCAAAACGTTTTATTTTAACTGTTTGTAAGGATTTCTTTCTCGGACACCTACCTGGCAGGAGGACAGCAGGGAACAGAATGAGTTTAACCACAGGGAGGGGCTGAATGGCAAACCCAGCTTTGGCTAATGTCGTTGAGGACGAGTTGGAAGAGTGAGCAGAGATATACAGGAGGTGGAGTAAACCTACGTGCCCGTTTATCAGAAGCAAACAGGGACGGTTACATACATAATAAACCGTGGGAAGTTAGAGACTTCAGACACAATCACGAATAAAAAACACCCATGCATTATGAGTATCGATTTGCTATGGACGGCGTGTGTGGACGATGACTCGAACACCCACCTGTGACATCCTGAGTGCGCTCTTACTACAGGGCTCGCTGTACAGTCATCATACACAGACTAGTAAATGCCGACGTCACAATGCGGACACATGCAGGGGTGGGGAGGAAGCCCCGTTCCTCCTTTCACCTTTCCCAAAGCCTTAGAATGGGGAGAGGTCAGACAGTGGGGGTGGGAAAGGAAACGGCAGGGCAATGTGGAGGCCTGGACCAGCCACGCTGTCTACTCAGCTGCCCACCCCGCTCCCTTCCAGAGACAGTTCTCGAAGGAGACCCCCACCCGGCATCATCCTCCCAGACGGTGCTGTTCGAAAATGCTGCACCGTAGGTTCAGTCCCAGGGTTCCCACGGACCGACGAGCACCGGATCCTATTCTTAGTTCTGCTAGCCAGTGACCAGGGAAGTTCTTCATTCTAAGGTTTTCCAAAAAAGTGTAGTCTCAGACCTGGGCCCTGCTTTTGTTTGGAAAGTGGCTTCGGCACCTGGGAGGTGAGGTGACTCTGAAAAAGCGCAATCCGCGATCCTGCTCCTAGAGAAAAGTGGGGGGGAGGGAGGCTTTCTTTTGTGGCTTCGAGTGGAGAAAGGGAAGGGGATGATTACGGGAGAGAAGATGACAATTTCCACCTGTAAGGACAGCTGCCATCAGGGTGAAAATAAGGCAGAACGATGCGTCGGTACTATCCTTTTTCTTTATACGGGCATTTTGTTTTTTTAGCAAAATTAGGGTTCTGCATTTGCTCCTGGCCTGAGAAAACGGGTCATGGTATTGTGTTAGGCTCACGCGGGCAGTCAAAAACTGACAGCAAAATCTAGTGTGTTTCAACGGACATGGCTCGACACGGAAGAGCTGCCCACAGATGACTCCAGACAGATCCGGGCCATGGACAGACACTGACCGTCAGCGCTGCTCCTGTCGGACCTTCCCCATCGGGTCAATGGCCGAGCAGAGCGGGAGGTGATCCTAAGTCATGTGGCTATTGCTCTTCTTCTATGGCTTTTGCTGAAAGGTGTACACTGACTAGTTTTTGACTGGGACGTATCCAGGTATCTTCGGCTTTGACTTCTAACACACAGCGAAGAGGGCCCACACACACATTCCTACCGTGTCACCCGCACCCCTGCCCCCCACAGGCAGACCACAGTGAGAATCACGAGAAGGTGTCCATGGCGAAGAACATTACAAAGGGTATAAATCTTTATCTTAATAGGCCCCTGAGAGTTTTTCCCCTTACGCGTAGGTGAAAAAGGCAGCGAACAAGATTCTCTTGTTCTTGAAGTGCTTCGTGCAACAACGTCCATTGTCGTCCGTGTCGATGCGGACATCCTGTGGAGGAGTATCTGTGCCGAGCCCAAAGCCCTCCAGGGTTCCAGTCTCACGGCGCCGGTCCAGTGGTCCCGCGGGGCCGACCCGTGAGCTGCCGCGCCTCTTGCTCTCATGACCCCGGTGAGGTCAGTCCTGCGTGACGCTTCCAGGCAGTCTCTCGGCCCTCGGCGAGTGTCATCTGGGCGAGACGCTGGGGCTGGGGAAGGAGCCGGAGTTCCTGGGCGACTGGAAAGGGATGGCCGAGGACGTGGGCGACCTCTTGGGGCTGCACAGGTCCCCATTGTGCAGCTTCCACAGCAGCTCCTCGTTCTCCATGGACAGTCGCTTGTTCACCTTGGACTCCTTCTCCAGAGACTCCTGCAGAACCGCCTGCTCAGTGGAAAGTTGCCTTGGATATGGGGAAAAAAAAATCAGCGAAAAAAATAAAAGAAACCATATGGATCTAAATTAAAAAGTAACTTAAAAATGCTCTTTAGATTTGAAAATCCAAAAAGCTATCCTTATGGGATAAAACAGAACCCTGCACAAGGTCCCAGGTACTCGGCGGGCGAAGGAACCCCAATACCAGAAGTGTGAGCACGAGGGAGAAAACAGCTGTGTCCCTGGGGCGGCGTCACGGAGGACTGGGTGCCATCTGCAAGCACGCCACATGCTCTCAGCCTGTCTCTCACACGGCTGTTTTCTATTGGGCGTGCGCTGCTTTCTCTCTGACAGCCTTGAGACTCGGGAAGCCAGGGGCGCTGGGTCTCAGGGTTCAGCCCAGGCCTCTGGTGAGAGCAGGAGCTGCTACGATCCTATTTGCAGGCAGCAATCAGGGCCCCTGAACCTGCTCAGTTCCCTCTCCAGGAGGTACAGGGGCGGAGCGCGGCTAGACAGTAATACTGCTCAGAAAGGAGGGTGGCTCAGGGAAGGGGGAAAACGGAGACTGGCTTTTTACCTTGAAATCGCCATGTGCTTGTCCATCCGAGCCTTTAGCTCTTCGTTCTCCTGTTGGAATCGCTTCAGTTTGTCAACCAGAGCGGTGTTATTGTCCACCTGGGCGGGAAGGAGAGTCCCGGCATGTATCCGTAAGATGGTTAGTAACATACCTCGCTGCTTAAGGGGCGTTCCTGACACAAGCGCACTTTGGAAAGGTCTCAGAGAGAAGGTGGGATGGGCACGCTGCAGGACAAGAGTCTGTGGCAGCAGAACTGAGCGTCTAGATGTTCTTTAAAGACAGACGCACCCAGGGGCCAGCGGCATGGTCCTTGGTCCTGTCATTCAGGCACCCTGCGAGTCGGCCTGGCCCTGAGCCACCCTGGGTGCTGCGCTCTTCTGTTTCCAAGTGGGGAAAGCAAACGCCATGCCAGACCGCCTGCGCCTGTCAAGCTACTACAATCTGCGTGGTAAATTCCGTCCCCACCCCACAAAGCCTCCCACACGGGATAAATACTCATAGGCTAACGGTTCACAGTTCTTGGCAGAAATGCAGCCTTGTGCAGAGGCTCGGGTGACTCTCTGGCATTTACTGGGTCATCAGAAAAGTCACGACACAGTTTTGCATAGAAAAACTTAGAAAAAACACATCACGACTTTCCCAACGACCCAATACTGCTGCGTGACCAGCCGCACAGAGCAGTGACTCGGCAAAGCTCTGCAGAGCACCCGGCGAGAGAGCCGCTCAGGAACGCCCCTCTCAGTCCAACCTCAGATAGGTCATGCTCCCGCTGCTGGCCCGAGCTAGACTTTCAAGGGAAACAAGCCAACTGGTTGAGCGATTCAAGGATAAGGTCCCTGAAGACATTTAATCACTAAACATAGGAGAGAGCTGGTCACATCCCAGCTCACTTCTAGAGGTAAGATTTTATGACTTGCTCAAGAGGTGACATTACAGCTCCGTCAGGATGAACTCCAAGGGACTATCACTGCAGCATGTGACTAATCTACTTTGATTATGGTGCTGCGATTGGGGCCCTGTTTTTCTTAAGACATCCTACTATTCCCAAGATGCTTAGGACAAGTCATTCGGTGAAATGACTCTGAAGAAAACGAGCCTAGAATATAAGAAAAATCGGCCATGAAATGTTCGGCGATTATAAAGGAATTCATGATAAAATGGGAGGTGAAAAAAACAAGATTTAGAGACTAGGTGGTGATTAGCCTTAAAATGTTGCTCATCTGGGGCCAGCAGGTGGAGCAGTGTTTAAAGTGCTGGACTCCCACATGGTTGACTGTGGTTCAAGTCCTGGACTTGGTAGCTTGAATCTTGCACTGGGTGCATGTGCATGCAAGCATAAAATCCCAAGAGGAGAATGGTAAAGGGATTGCGGCATGGCCATCCCCCCGGGAGGGATGATTTCTTACTTTCTGTCTGTCTGCTTATGTGTCTCCAGTGAGTACACATGCCATGTAACAAAACCCTCTTAAAAAACGTACACACACACACACACACACACACACACACACACCAACTAACCTGTCAGTGCACAGAAGAGGAAACCAGCTCTGATAATGTCACAAAGCTAATTTTCAGCAAAGCTTGTTTTCATAGCAAAGCGGTCTTACTTAGATAACCTTCTGGGATGTTTTCTAAATGTCTTAATCTCTTCAAATGCCTAGATCTTATAATGAAATAAAGTAACGATGGATTTACAGGGCTAGCCTCGTGGCCTGGTGGTTACGGGATCTGACTGTGGTTTGGATTCCAGCCCTGGTGGCTTGGGGAACACACTAAGCATGTGTGCGTGTGGCCCAAACCCAGGCAGGATAGAGAAATGAAGGACAGGGGATTTAGGCATGACACCCCACTGTGAAGTGCGCGCTCTCTCTCTCTGCCCGTCTCTAGCGAGTGGATGTACCCTCCAGCATTTAAGAAAAAGCGGGCTTACTTACCCCCCAGTTCTGCACACACACATACATGGCTGACTGTGGTAGCTGTGCTACCCTCAGGCATGGCAAGAAACAAATACTATGACTCAACAGAGATGAAAATGTGTTCGGGCTTGTACAGCAGAACCTATCTTATTGCGCATGTTTTAAAACTATTGTGATGCGTGAATGGCTCATGGAATGACGAATTATTAACAGGACTGAGTCATGGCTGGCTGCCAGGTTGTGAGGCCCAGGACGACCTTCGGCAGAACTGGCATGTACGCTACGTGTGCACACAGCCATGCATGCCTTTCTTCGCCTAACTACACAAAATTTCCTCATAGGGAACCAGCAGTTAGCGTAACGGCTATGTCGCTGGACTCCCACGTAGTCGACCGCGGTTCGTGTCCCGGACCCGGTGGCTTAAAACTCACGCCGGGCGCGTGTGCGTGCATGCCCAAGATCCCGAGAGGAGAATGGAGGAGAAAGGATTGCGGCGTGGCCATCCCCCCTGGGGGGTGATTTCTCGCTTTCTGTCTCTATGTCTCTCTCTGTCTGTCTGGCGAGCGCACGCGCCCTACAGTGAAAATCTCTCAAAAAAAAAATTTCCTCATAATTCAAAGAGCCTACACAGCCACATGCTTGGCCACCACCGTCCTCAACAGAGAGGTAACAGTTCTAGAAAAAACCAGACGACCCCCCCCCAAATCTCTCAAACTCTGAGTGAACAAAAACATGAATAGGCCCAGTGTGAGCTCCACGGTCCTTACTGCTGGGCGTGTGTCTGAATGAGGCTCTTAGTTAACAATGAGTCACTCGTACCCGGGGGGAAGAGGCCCGCAGTGCTGGGTTGGTGGCACAGTCGGGGACAAAGTGCAGCCCACAGCTGGGATCACTGAGCCACCTCACCAAAGCCAGCCCATGTGGGCAGCATTCTGCTGGGAGCAGCTGCGTCTCAGGGCTGGACCCAGACACAACTGAACGCTGGGCGCGCCTCTCAGACACGCCCTTCTGGGTAGACTCACCACGCAGTAACATGGATCTCTGTCCTAGAGGCTGTGAACTCCACTGTATTCATTTTTTCCACAGTGCGTGCTCTATCTGTCCAACTGGATCCATCTTGGTTAATTAATGAGACCGCGTATGTGCACACACGTGTGTGAGTGAGAGGAGCATCTTCCACAGCGTCTGGTCATGCTACCGTCTGCTTCTTTCAGTCATCCATCCCATCGGATCGTGAACATTCAAGAATGTGCCTGGCGTGTCTCAGGCTGGCCAGGCTGGGGATTTGAACTGTGGTCACCATGTGGGACCCAGTTTCTCTTGAGCGGGGCCTTAGTACTGTGCCACAGAGCCAGCCCTGAATGAATCTTACTAAGACAGGATTCTTTTATCACGATCTAATTCCCATGAACCAAGATGAAGAACTTCGACAGACTGCATTGCTCCGATGGGATAAATTTATTAACAATATCCCATTGTTCTGGACATAGGAAACCGATTCTGAGTTGGCAGTATATAAAAATACTGATTTTACCTTATTGAAAAGTTTTCCTTATGTAGTGAAGACTCCTAGACCACTGAAAGACCAGCCTGATTATCATGGTACAGTTTTTCTAAGAAATGAATGCTGCTTAGTAAGTTTCTTGGGGGAAAAAAAAAGTTCTAGAAAGCAGCAATGAATAACCCTTGAATAAACTTGGAAAAGAAAAGTAACCTTCATTGCTTACACATTTTCCAAATAACTCTCGGTAGCAGTTGGTCCGGCTGCAATTCTAACCGCAGGGCACAAGCCCCATTTCCCAGCTGCCACCCCCCTTGGTAAGCGCCTTCGCCCTCTCCTCCGAAGGAGACCTACCAGCTTCTCCATTTTCATCAGCTTGATGTCCTGCTGGTGCAGTTTCTCATTCTTGATCTCCAACACGGCTTTCAGGCTCTCTAATTCTTGCTCCAGATACATGACCTGAGGGTTTTTCTGGAAAGGACATAGCAAAATAGCTCCCTTATTTCACACCACCACATAGTCCACACTCTCAACGTGAAGAATCTCTGATGAGGTTCAGACAATAGACGAACAAGCCAAAAGTGACTTCCATCTTCTTACAGCCGTCTCCGAGGTGAAAGAGAAGAGTTAAGGTTATGCTCATCTCAAAAGATCTTGGTTGTAACATTGAAGAGCATTTCACCCAGTGGTCAGGAATGTAACATGGAAAAATATTGGTTGTATCAAACACGGTACAAAGAATAAGAGAAAAACCGCTGCTTACACCACAGAACAGAACTCCAGCTGGCAACTGGTAATCTGCCAGTCCTTTACTGGAGTGTGTGTGGGGAGACGTGGGGGGCAGGGGGAGATGAAGAACAGCAGCTCTCTAATCAAATCAGTAATCAGGAATGAAAAGGCAGGACTCCAGGGCTCTATGGAAAACAACAGATATAACCAGAATGTTCTAGCCTCTGGATTTTCCTATGCCGAGGCTCTGTCTGCGGAGCCACGTTTTCAGGGCTACAGCTACCATTGCATACTGGGGCACCCCAACACCCACGTGGTGTACAGAACACACTCTACTGAGTCTTTGCACTACGCAGGGGGAGGCATCCTCTGAGTGCACACAGCAGGGAGTCGTCATCCTCCATTCTACTCCCGGCTTTACTGATGGACATTCAACCGAACCACTCAAGATATACGGCATACGGTAACATGTTGCACGAGTTACCTAATCAGATGCTGAATGAAGGAATTTCTTAGGTAAGGTTCACGCTGTCCATCATCAAGACTATCCCCCAAGGCAGCGGTTTCTGCTCTCGACCCATCCGAAGGGACAGGCAGGGAAAGGCCTTTGGGGATGACTTAACCCAAACCCCTGACTCCAAAGGAGGAGGAAACGAGGCCCAGTGGTCAGCTTGATCAGCTCGGGGTCTGCACCACGGCTGGGAAAGGCCAGGGAGGGACTGACAGCTAGATCTGCAGCCCTAGGTTCTTTCAAAAGTCAGACAAATTTCGAGCTGGCCCCACGGCCTAGCGGTTAAAGGAAATGGATCTCACGTGATAGATGATGGTTTGACTTCCAGCCTTAGTGGTCTGGAAAATATGCCGGGCAAATATGCGTGCATGACCAAACTCCCAAGAGGATGGAGAAATAGAGAAGGGATTATGGTGTGACCACGCCCCATTGAGGTGTCCCCCTCCTCCGCTTCTGTCTCTCTCTGGCAAGTATATACACCCTCTGCCAATTAAAAAAAAAAGCTCCTAAGTTTTCTTTTTTAAGAATTTTTCTCTTTACTTTATTTACTTACTAACTTATTTATTTAAATTTGACCAGAGTAGGACAGAGTGAGAGTGTGAGAGAGAGGGAAAATGAGAAAGCAAGCTGCCTGGTCTGGGACTTGAAACACGGTCAGCCATGTGGAAATCCAGTGCCCTTAACCAGCATGCCACCTGCTGGCCCCTTTCATGAGTTATTCTTTCCTGCTTCCCTGCAGCCTGTCCTTCCTCAGCCCCACCCCGACATGCTCTCCTGCCTGGCCAGGGGCGGCCCTGTCTGTTCCTGCTCCCCTCTGGCCAATTCCCTTAAGCTTTCAAAAGTGGCTGCGGGAGAACCTCTCTGTGGTCTCAGAAGCTCTTTAAAACCTCTTCTCCGAATCGTTAGTAAGGACCACACCTTGCATTTCAGTCCAGTTCTTTTTCACTTTTATTTTTACTGGAAGAGGGAACAAGCGCTCTGCTGAGAGAGAGAGGAAAACGAGGGAGGGAGAACACGCCCCCAACAGAGCGCAGTCGTGCTGCAATCCGTCCTCCTGCATCTCTCCACCCACCCCTTCCCTGGGGGTTTTCCAAGCCACAGGGGCCAGGATTCAGCTGTGAGTGGCCATGTGGGGTCTGGTTCCCTTAACCACTAGGCTACAGAGCTGACCTTTTAAAATCACTGAGTTTTCCTAAGACTCTTGGAGAACAACCAGCGTTGAAGTTTCCTTGATGAGGAGCTCATCTAACTTTATCAAATGTGTCCAGAGGGTGTCTCACCGAGACTGTCAGCAAAAGGTCTGAGACCCCTGCATGGACCTTAGGGGCTGAATGCAGTCCCAGAGCACAACTGCATGGAACAAAAATGGTGGTACTAAAGACAGACAGCAAGAAAAACCTTTTTCCCCTCAAAGAAAAAAAGGTCCAGCCAGGTAGTATGTATGACAGTCAAAGTGGCTGGATCCCACATGCCTGAGTGTGCAGTTCAAGTCCTGGACCTGGCAGCTTAGAAAATCTGCCAGGTGCACATGCGTGTGTGCCCAGAATCCCGACAAGAGAAAGAAGGGACTGTGGCGTGGTGATCTTTCTGGGGGCGTGATCGCTCACTTTCCTTCTCACTTTGCTGTCTCTCTCCAGCGAGTGCAACAATGAATGAATGAATAAATAGAACAGAATAAACTGAACTGAAATGAAATCAAAGTAGAGGCCCAGAAGAGCAAGGGTAAAGTTCCACGGGAAATCTGCTCAGAAGAGACATTTTTATTTTTCCAAGTTGACGTTTGCACAATGAAACAAACATCGCTCCCTCATCCACAGCAAGGGGTGGAGCTCTGACACGGCTACAACCCGGATGAGCCTGGGGAACATGCTGAGTGGCAGGCCACGCATGAATGGGCACATACATGTGGGTACGATCCCATTTAAGGCAATGTCCCGAAAAGCAAACCCCAAGAGCTGGAAAGTACAGTGAGGGATACCAGGGAATTTAGGATCTGAAAATGACCCTGAGTTTGGATTCTTTCTCAGGGCACTGAACATCGACTCTCACAGACAAGAGAAAAGTGTGGTATTGATAAAATGCACGACTTACTGCATTTGCTTTTTCTCTTAATACTCTTTTTTGTTCTTCCGATTTCAACTTTTCATTTAAAGCATCATTTTCACTCTTCAGATCGCTGACTTGCTTCTGAAACACACACAGTGAAATGCGACCCCTCCCTTAATGAGCGGATCCCGGACGGACAGCAAATGTACACGGGAACATCCCAAAGCCCAGAACGTCACGCATGGTGACTTTTCTCAGGACTGAGATCCACCCACCTCTAGTGACTCCTGCTTCTCGTGAAGTAAGTCCTCGAGTGATTTCTTTTCCGTTTCATGACTTTTCTTGATTTCTGAAAAGAAGGAATATTTTTTTGAGGCACCAACATTCTATGCGGTCAGTGTACTTTAATATACTTATTAAAAGACAGATGTAGGGGCCAGGAGATGGCGCAGTGGTTAAGGTGCTTGACTCTCACATGACCAACCAGGGTTTGAGTCCCAGACCTGGCAGTCAGAAAATCACACCAGGTGTGTGTGCACGTGTGCTCAAAATCCCGAGAGGTAAATGGAGACAGGGGTTGCATGACTATCCTCCTGGAGGGAGATTTCTCCCTTTCCCTCTCACTGTCTCTCTCTGGCAAGCACATGTGCCCTATGACAAAAAACTAAAAACACATTGGGACTATGGCAAAAAAATAAAAAAACAAAAAAAAAAAAAAAAACAGGACAACTGAAAGTATACAGGTGTAGGAGTTATTATGAAGCAATGTAACTTCCTTTCCATTAGTATGGTGCTTTTCTATAAATTGAGCCCTGTGTTCTTGAAAACGGCCTTGTGAGTTGGACAGCACAGATATTTCCCACTTTCTGACCGACAGCCGGGAGGCCCGCAGAGTCCAAGAGACCTCGGCCGAGACCAAGTGTCCAACCCAGGGCAGCGCTTCCCACGGTGGCCTTCAGACTCCTGGTCCCTGCTCACTCATTTGCTCTTCATGACCCCAACGCCTGCCCCGAGCCGGTCACGCTGACACACTGTCGTCCCTGACGTCACACACCTCTGTGTCCTGATGAGCAAAGTCCACGCTGGCGGTGCCCAGCCTGTCCTCGTCACCGCCCACAGACTGCTCGGATGACGTGGCCATGTCAGAGTGAAGACTAGCTCCACCGCTGCTCCTGACCTCAGGGGAATGGCTGCTTACCCTTCCCCTTCTGCCTCGGTCCTGCCACCGGTGACGGGTGAAGTAATCCAACAAGCGCCATCCTCGTTCCGCGGCAGAGTGGGCGAGCGAGGGTACTCGGTGTGGGGCCTTTACTGCGGCCAGGATTACACTGGCACCTTCGACCTCCCAGGAACCCAAGCCGGTGGGCAGCGGCGGCACCACCACCACCACCACCACCACCACCACCACGGCCTCTGTCATCTCTGGAAGTTTCTCTGGTTTCCTAAGAGCCAGCATTTATAACAGACTATTCTGCACCGCTGGGCAGAAGGGTATGCTAAAGGAACCTCCAAACGCCACAGGGCCTTCTCTGGAGGGGAAAGTGAGGAATTATTTCCTTCTTAAAACACACCCTACTGCTCCATTAGATCATTTTCTGTTGAAGAGAAGGAAGCACACTTGCCTGAAAGCGAGGTTTCATAGGCTGTCTTCAGCAATTCCACCTTCTCTGAATAGCTAGCTTCGATTTCCAACTTAGAGGTTTCATGGGCCGCGTTTAAGTTGTCAAACTGTAAGAAGCAAGCATGACAGGAGTTTGCCAAGAGAAGTGCAGAGGTGAGTGACAGGTGGCAACAGCAGCAGACGTCGCACACAGGCTGGCGGTCACGGGTAAGGGTGACGCAGCGCACGGGAAACTCGTCCACGGCAGCCCCATCTGGATTTGCCATCCCGACGCGCCACCCTGGCCCCGAGGGACACAGACAGGCAAGCTCTCCAGGGCAAGGTGCTTACAGGAATGGGGAGGGCTTCACGGTGACAGGGCCACAGAAGCTCCGCTCACCGTGTTGGCCGTCACTGCTCGGGCCCTGGCCCTTGCCTGGCCCTTAGAGAGCTTCCTGTAAACATCTGCTACATGGAAAAGTGAGTGCAGACGGTTTGTGACACTACGCTTAAAAAAATGAGTTGCCAGGGGCCAGCAGGTGGCCTGGTGGTTCAGGTGCTAGATCCCACATGGTGGACTCTGCAGTTCAAGTCCTGGACCTGGTGGCTTGAAAACATGCCAGGCGCATGTGTATGTGTATGGCCCCAAATCCTGAGAGGAGAATGGAGAAGAGACTGGCACAGCCATCCTCCTGGGGGAGATTTCTCACGTCCCTGCTCTGTCTCCATCTGTCTGTCTTATCTGTCTCTCTCTCTCTCTCAGCAAGCACCTGTGCACTATGGCAGAAATCTTAAGATTTAAAAGAAGGGTTACCAAACAAGTGCTGTTTTATAAAGACTAGAAATACAAATGGATAGTTCAGCAGCACAACGCCAAGATGTTTACAAAGGGATTATACATGGGGAGAGAGATAAAGAATTATTTTTATGTTTTCTTGCTTGCTTTCTTTTTAAAATTTCCAAAGGGAGGCTGAGAAACAGAGAGAGGGAGAGAGGGAGCGCCCTTCGATGCAGTGTGGCCATGCCACAACCCCTTCTCCATGCCCTACCCCGGCAGGGTTTCGGGCGTGCGTGCACATGTGCCTGGCGTGTTTTTCAAGCTCCCAGGCCCAGGATTTGACCTGCGTGGTCGGCCACGTGGGAACTGGCTCTCTTAATTTCTAGACTGTGGGACTGGGCCCTCTTTCTTTTCTGTCTTAACTTTCCTTCCCTTCTTTTTCTCTTTCCTTTCCTTTCTACTTTCATTTCTTCCTCTTTTTCTTTTTTCCTTTCTTCCATCTTTTCCTTTCCTTCTTCCCCCCTCTTTCTTTTCTTTTTTCTTTTATTCCTTCCTTTCACTTGACTTAAATGTATCTTGCTTTGATACTAAGGAAAAATTCAATTAAAAAAGGTTTTCCACCTATGAAACTAAAAACAAAGAATGTGAGTCAAAGCCAAGTGCAGCCCGGACCCGAACACGCCCCGCAGTGCCGGCCCCAAGCACCCACCTGCTCCTGCAGCTGCGTTTTATACTTCTCAGCTTCTTCGATGTAGATGTTCTGCAGCTTCTCACACTCCCCGGTGTAGAACTCCTTAAGCCGGTTCTCCAGTTCTGAGAGGTCGGCCTGGTGCTGCTGGTTCAGCTTCTGCACGAATCCTTCATACGCTATTTGTAACTCATCCTTGGCTTTCTGCAACTTGTCACAGGTGGTTGAAGCAGTGACTGAAAAGGAACGAGCAAGAAAAGGGAAGCTGTCAGCCATCTGCTAAGTCTCCTAAACGTGAAACACTCATACAGTTGTGACGACGCTGGAGCCATAAACTCAGGAATGGCTCGGGTCTCTGGTGTCCAGAACTGCGAGCAAAATAACACAGCTGTGAACTGTAGAAAGTGACCAGAGGGAATGCTCTCCAGTAGCAAGAAAACAAAACAAAGCTAAGAAAAAACCACCCCAAACTATGAGCAGCAAGGGACATGCGTGAGAAGCACCAGGCTCCCGAGCAAAGACCACCCTCTTGCATGGTGACCCCAAAGAGAAGAGCCTCTGAATGGCTGAGACTTCTCCACGGACACGTTACTCACAGCCGGTCAGTGTAGGAGAAGCCAGGTCAGGGAAGGAGCAGGGCTGATCAGGGAGAAGACACAATGGGCTTTGAGCCTGTACTTATTTTGACCCAATTTCAAATTATTATTGCGAAAAAGACAGTAATGAAAACAAGATGTCAGAATATGTTGAACATGCACACAAACAAATTTAAAGCATGCTAAAAGGCCCAATAGGGGCCAGGTGTTATGGTGGATGAGGGCGCTGGACTCTTAGATGGCCGACCATGATTTGAGTCCCAGACCTGGCGGCTTGATTTCTCATTTTCCCTTTTTCTCTCTGGTCAAGTCATAATAATAACAACAACAACAATGAATACAAATAAATAATTATTTTTTAAAAATCCTCCAATATTAGCATATTGAAAGGTTACATTTTTTAAAAAGCAAAGTAATTTGATAAAAAATCATTTAAAATTAGGATGAGTGGTTAGCCTAATGGCTATGTCACTGGACTCCCATATAGTTGATAGTGGTTCAAGCCCTGGACCTGGTGGTTTAAACTCGTTCCAGGTGCCTATGTGTGTGTGCCCAAGATCTGGAAAGGAGAATGGAGGAGAAGGGATTGCGGGGAGGCCATCCCCCCAGGGCGTGACTTCTCGCTTTTTGTCTCTCTGTCTCTTTCTGGCGAGCGCACGTGCCCTATAGCTAAAACCTCTCCAAAAAAAAAAAAAAAAAAACTAAATGAAAAAAAATTTAAATCAGAGCATCCTCTCTCTCCCCTCATCACTGCCCAGAATGGAACGACTGACCAGAGTACACTGCAGAACCCACACAGAGAACAGACACACACACTGTACATCAGAGGAACTCCAATGTCTGAGGGGGCTCGGCTGGGCCCGCTGGCCACCCCCAGACTAACGTGTGCGCACAGGGAGCTGGAGACCCACTACCGCCAGCACACGCGTGTCGCAGCGCCCACCGAGCTGGGGACGAACGAACTCGGCTGCTGGTCAGTCTGCCCCAGGAATCCCTGCCTCTGTTTTGGTAAGGAATATTTCAGGAGATGTAGAAGGAAAAACCTTATTTTAGGGCAGGGAAATGAATAGTTTAGTCAATGATTCTTCTGCCTGAGGAATGTGAAATCTGCCGGTTTCCGGGGTGAGTTTCTGGCAATAAGACAGAATCGTTCCCTTGGGAATATGCCGCGTGGCCGCCCATGGCCAGATTTACTCGCCCCAAATCAATACTCAGAGGTAGAAGAGCCTGTATTAGAGCAATGGCAAGAAGGGTGATGCCAGAGAGAGCCCTTAAATAACAAGTCAGTCCTCCAGTGGGGTGCCTGGAAAACCATGACACGTTTTTACATAGAAAACCAGAAAAATACGTCAGAACTTTCCCGACAATCTAATATTTATGGACAGAAAAAGGAAGATTTTGGGGGAAAAAAAATACATGTAATAGGGACCAGCAGTTAGCGTAATGGCTATGTCGCTGGACTCCCATGTAGTCGACTGAGGTTCACGTCCCGGACTGGGTGGCTTGAAACTCACACCGGGCACGTGTGCGTGCGTGCCCAAGATCCAAAGAGGAGAATGGAGGAGAAGGGATTGCAGCATGGCCATCCCCCTGGGGGGGTGATTTCTCGCTTTCTATCTCTCTGTCTGTCTCTGGCTGGCTGGCTGACGAGGGCACGCACCCTATAGCAAAAACCTCTCAAAAAATAAAATACATATAATATAAAAATTGCCATTTTACTCATTTTTAAGCGCACTGTTCACGACACTAAGCAGAGTCACATTGTGCCACCTTCACCACCACCCATCCCAGGACCTCCCCCACACGGAAATACCACACCAATTAGATCCCAATCACTTAACCCTTCCTGCATGAACCTCACCAGCTCTCTCATATAAGCGGACTCCTACAGTACGCGCCCTGCTGTGGCTGATTTCATCTGGCACCATGCCCTCAAGGCTGTGCCACGTACTGGAACTTTCTTCCTTTCCTAAGGCTGAAGAATATTCTATCGTATGCGTGGAGCCCACTGTTTGTTTATTCATCTGTTGATAGACTGCTGGGTTTCTTCCACCCTTCGGCCACTGTGCCTAACACTCTCCTGAACACAGGGCACAGATATCTGTTGGGGTCTTTGCTTTCAGTTCTTCCGTGTATACCCCCAGAAGTGGACTGAGGCTGATTTTATTTTTCATCATTTCAGGGACTGCCAGTACTCTTCGGCACAACGGCTGCACCATTTTACAATCCCATCAGGAGGACACGAGGTTCAAATTCCTCCATATCCTCACCAAAACCTGCTCTGCTTCTTTCAAATAAATAAGTAAATAAAATACTCATCCTCGTGGGTTCTGGGGTGGTATATAACAGTGGTTGATTCCCCTGCACATGTGCGCACCGGAGACAGGGGGAAGGAGAGAAGGAAAGTGAGAAAGTACATCCCATGGGGGGTGATCAGGCTGTAATCCCTTCTCTTCCATTCTCCACGCAGGATTTCAGGCACGTGTGCACACACGCCTGGTGCACTTCTCAAGCTGCTGGGTCCAGGACCCGAACCACACGGTAAGCCATGTGATTCCCGGCCACCCTAACCATCATGCCACTGACGGGCTCTCGGTGTGGTTTTGCTTTGGTCGGCAGATTTCTACACTAGTGATTCGATGTAAATAAAATCCTGGTGCGGACAGAGAAAACTGCACCCCGCCATGAGCAATGGCGGGCGCTGCAGTGAGTGAGCTGTGAGGGCCAAAAACTTCACCAAGCAGCGCTGAAGACAGGACCCAGACAGGCAGAAAACAGGCAGCCCCTGGAGGCCGTCGCACAGAATATCGCTGAAAAATCAGTGCTCAGGGACTAAAGAGGAGAGGGTATTTTATCGTTTCTTCTTCTTAAATTTTTAATTATTACTCTTATGTTTTAACTTGGTATTAGGCATATGTGCTCACCAAAGAGAGACAGCGTGAGAGGGAGAGTGAGCAAGCAAGCAGCCAGGTCCACAACTCAAACCGTGCTTGGCCACGTGCAAGTCCAATGTGTCAACCACCGTGCCACCTGCTGGCCCTCTTCTTTTTAAAAATCTTTCCTTTGAAAAATTGCCAGAGGGGACCACCAGGTGGCATGGTGGTTAAGGTGCTAGACACTCTCATATGGCAGACCATGGTTCAAGCCCTAGACCTGGTGGCTTGCTTTCTCACTTTTCCTCCCTCCCTCTCTCTGTCTCTGTTCAAATCAAAATACATGGATAAAAAAAAAACAAAATAAATAATTTTTAAAAATTGCCAGAGGGTCCGGTTCTGTGGCCTGGTGGTTGAGGCAGGCTGAGTATCCGCACAGCCAACTGCATGGTTTGAATCCTAGACCCACGAGCTGGAGAAACATGCCAGGTACGTACACACAGTGCCCAAACGCCGAAAGACGGAGAGCTGGAGGAGAAGGGATCGAGGCGTGACCATGCCGCACGCATGGGGGGTGTTCTCACGTTCTGTCTCTCTCTGTCAAGTGCACATGCTCTTCAGCTAAAACGACCACGTTATAATAAAGAAAAGGACGGGGCAGCAGATGGCATGGCAGTTACATTTCTAGACTCCCACGTAGTCCACTGCAGTTTGAGTCCCGGACCAGGTGGCTTGAAAATCATGCTGGGCATGTGTGCGTGTGTGCCTAAGATCTCAGGAGGAGAATGGACAAGTGACTGAGGCATGGCCATCCCCCAAGGGGGTGATTTCTCACTTCCCCTTTCACTGTCTGTCTCTCTGGTGGGCGCACATATCCTAAGGCAAAACCTTTAAAAAGTATTTTATATGTAATACACTTTGAGCCCCTTGGACAGCTCTTATCAGAGGTAGAACATCGAAGTGAAGCCGACAACTCAGGGTTAGACTAGAAGAAACTTAGGGCTAGGAGGGCTTCTAATGGAAGGCAGCAGTGTGCTAGGCAGGCCAGATGCGAAGGCACCTGCTTACCACTGTCACTCCGAATGTGTAACGGTGGAGCATCAGACTTTAAAATCAGACAGGGTACATGGAAACCGTTCACGGTGGTGGGTGCAGCCATGTCCTCAGTTTTAAAAGGCGGTCGCAGCAGCAGCTGCCCAGATGTTCGGCTTGCTGGCCGCTGGAGTGAGCTGAGTGAGGGAGAGACGGCGAGGGAACAGCAGAGGACAGAGGGGAAAGCGGGTCAGAGGGGGAGGGCTCACTGCTCTGGCTGCAGTGGCCACAGTGGCAGGCCGCCCAAGGGTGACATCAACCCCCAGCTGTGCACAGACCTCTGCTCTGTTTGCAGGCCTGAGCGCTTGCAGCGGGGACAGCTGGACGCCTATGACCGCTCACAGATGCCTCTAGTTTGTCCTTACTGGCCCCAGCTCCTAGGGAAACACAAACCTGGCAGAGAAACTCATGCAGTATTTTTAAAAGGATGCACGTGGGCGTGCTGCACTACGGCTGTGCTAGACACTCTCATATGGCAGACCATGGTTCAAGCCCTAGACCTGGTGGCTTGCTTTCTCACTTTTCCTCCCTCCCTCTCTCTGTCTCTGTTCAAATCAAAATACATGGATAAAAAAAAAACAAAATAAATAATTTTTAAAAATTGCCAGAGGGTCCGGTTCTGTGGCCTGGTGGTTGAGGCAGGCTGAGTATCCGCACAGCCAACTGCATGGTTTG